AACTTTGGCCCGTTCTCTCAGTATGTGTCTCTCAAAGATCTGCTCTCCATCAACGGACTCTTCGATCCCGTATGTCTCCACATCTTCACATGTGATTTCATCAAAGAAGATTTATAAAAATAACACAATGTCACCTTAACCTTCACTTTAATTCTCTTGTTCTTCTCTGTGTGTTTAGTTTGAGACTCTGAACAATCTCACTCCAGAGCAGATGGTTGGACTGATTGTTAATACTCAACCTGGTGTGTCACAGAATGTCGTCATCAATACAGTGTTTGATCATCTGCTTGTGTCTCCTGTGGAGCGAGGACTTCCTGATGTTCTTGAGCTCTTGTATGTTTTCTCCACAACGGTGAGAAGATAAGGCTGGAGGTCTTTGGCAGTTTCTAGAACTGTGTATGTATTAGGAAGTTGAAATTTGGCACCCTCATTTGAGAGGGTCTTAACATTTATCTAGCCAAATGCGGGGTCTGTATCTCAAATTCAGTAGTGGAAACAACAGCTCAAAGTTACTCATTTTATCTTTTGATCCAATGGTGTAGAAACATGATGCTCTATTGAATTACACTAGTACTTGTATGAATTTCATTCTATTTGTTTAGTTTTTTATTTTATTTTGTTATTTTTCGTTTTTGACACTGCAAACAAACATTTCTGCAATTCATCTGTAACTGATCCCATTGTATCATCATAGTGTGCTATTAAGCTTTCAATCATGTTTATAATGCTTGTTCTGCTCGCATTAATGTTTGCCTACAAAACCACCACTGGCTCTGCACCCATTTACCTAATTTCATTACTTCAGAGTTATGTGCTCTCTAGAAGCTTTCATTCTGCAAGTGAACGACGCATTATTGTGCCATCTAAAAGAGGCACAAAATCACTTTCACTTTTACATTAACTGTTCCCTCCTGGTGGAATGACCTGCCCAACTCAATCCCATCTTCAAGAATCAGCTAAAATCCGTCTTTATTTGACCCTCTAACTCTAGCACTCTCTATTCTGATTCTATTCTTAAAAATAAAATAAAAAAAACATGTCTCTTTTAGACTTGCACTAAAAAAAAAAACTAACCCTAGCTTCTCTATTCTTTTTGTATTCTGTCTATTTATTTTCTTTTTATTTATTATACCATTTTTCCATTTTTATGGTTTTGAAAGTGCTTTATAAATAAAAGTTGAGTTGAGATTATACCATTAACAAAAGCAAAGACGGCCTCTAACACTAGTTTGCTCTATTCTGTTTCTATTCTGTTTTCTTTTTATTTATTATATAATTAAAAAAAAAACCTTGCTAAGTGTGCTGCGTTAAGCTAACTGAGTCTTGTTATAGCACTTGCATCTCATTGCTCTCTTGTTGATTTTGATTGCTTCCATTGTCCTCATTTGTAAGTCACTTTGGATAAAAGCATCTGCTACATGACTAAATGTAAATGTTCTACTGCGCTCACCCTGTTATTGCTGCTTAGAGTTCTATTCCTCTGCATGGAAATAAATACATGACTTCTTATGGTTTTCTTTTGTAGAGTCCACTCAGCTGTCAAACCAACCAGATAATGTAAGTGTTAGTTGATTAATACCCATCAGATTCAGTTGCATTATTGACCACATCTTCTTGACTACTTCTGTTGTGTTGTGAATCAGCTTCACGAGGCTGGAGCAGATCTTGAGCTCAGGAGCGGGTGATCTGGAGCCTGTCATCTGGGCGAGCGTTTATAAGTTCAGCCGCACGGCTCCTGCAGGTCAGCGACGTTTCATCCGTCTCTCTGTCAGCCATTATGTTCTTTTCTCCTGTTCCTTATTAATGCTGTTTTTGACTGTTCTCACAGACTGCGCTCTTCTCCCAGTCGTGAATGAGGTGTGTTTGTCATTTTAAATGAATCGCTTTCATTTTTACTCTTACAGAATCCGAAACAATAATTTTAGTCTGCTGTGTACATTTAACACCGCTTTTGTCTTTTCCTCTGCAGTGTGCCGTGACTCCATTCAACGGTATTCAGTGATTCCTGTCCATCACCATCATTTACATTCATGCTTTTAGCAGATGCTTCTGTCCAAAGTGAAAGAGGAAAAGTACTGCTATTATTTCATGATCATATATGAGTGTGCAATACTGATGTTTTGCTCTCTTTGTGTGTGTTTCAGAGACTCGGGTGTGCAGTGGAGTGGACAGGTAGCGTAAAGCTTAATTTTCCTCTTTTGTTTTTCCCAGCTTTGACTAACTGTGTCCTCTCTGTCCAGTTCTGCAGCACAGCAGTGCTTGAACGAAGGACGGGTTTGTGGCTTCAGTATTGCAGCACATGCATGCGCCCCGGTAATCACACATGAGTCTATATCCCAGAATGCAGCTCTGTAATCAGATGTGAAACGGTGGTGTAAACAGGCGTGTTGTGTGTGTTCAGGTGCTGAATGTGAGCGTGGAGTATCTGGTCACACTACTGAACTCTCACCTGTCTGATGATGACATGAGCTCAGCTGAGAGCTGGAAACTCTTCCTGACCAGAGTCTCACACCTGCTGGACATCGCCCTCGAGCAGCTCTCCAACCAGGTACAGGACAGACTCATTTCACACTGCAACTAAAACTAAAACCATAAAAAAAGCACAGCAGTATTTTACAATAAGGTCCCATTAGTTAACAGTAGTTAGTGTATTACCTAACATTAACTAACAATGAGCAATACATTTGTTACAGTATTTATTGAACTTTGCAGCTCATTGTTAGTTCAGGTAATAATATTAAAACATCCAACATTTGATTTGAAAAATGTATAAGTAAATGTTGAGATTAACACTAACTAAGATTAATAAATGCTTTAGAAATGTTTTCCATTAATCGTTCTTGTTAACTAATGTTAACAAATGGAACCTTGTAAAGTGTTACCAAACACACGTTTGTTACTTGAAATAAAATCAATGTTAACTGAAATAAAATATTAAGAAAATGATTTCGCCTAGTTGCCAAAGCAACATTTGTTTATTTTAACTTGAGGTAGAAAAATAACTAAAACCTTCTGAAATAAACTGAAATAAAATAAAATATAAAAATGTTTAAAAAAAACTAAAATTGAAATAAATTAAAATAAAATATTTTATAAAAAAATATTTTATGTCACCTACTGTAGTTGCCAGGGCAACAATTTTATTTTAATTTAGTTATAAACTGAAAAATATGCATAAACACACAATTTACTAAATTACTGAACTTTACTAAACTGAAATTAAAAGGAAAACAGAAAATCTCAAAATAAAAACAAATTCAAAATTGTATTAGTATATCAATGATACTAAACTAGCAGAGATTTAGAATTACTCAGTCATAAAACACTTGATCAATGCTTTATGAAAACAGGAACTGAGCGACTCAGAGTGACGGTAAACAGCAGAAATCCTGCATTTATTCACTCTGAACCATGACCGGAGATGAAGAGCAGTCCTGCTGTGTGTTTGATTCCTTGTGCTGGTGCTGATGATCTTCTGTGTGTAGTCGGTGTGGAGGAGCAGCAGCTCTGCTTCAGTGGTGCTGGACGTCCTGCGGGAGCTGCGGCTGGACAGATTCTCAGATGAGAGCGCCTCTGCGCTGTGGCTTGATGAACACCTGCGAGCGTTCCTGCCGAGCGCCTCCGGGACCTTCCTGCAGTGCCTGCGCAGCCAGAACCTCAGCTGCCAGAGCTTCCAGACAGTGTAAACGGCCCAGATCTTCCTCACTTTCTCTGTAAACATTTAAAACCAGTCAGACATACTGAGTGAGCAGTGTGTGAATATCCTAGTGTTTTATGGATCTGAATATCAGTGAATCAGATTAGATTTGGAGTCTGAGTGTTGTGATATTGACTTTTGTGTGTGTGTGTGTGTGTGTGTGTGTGTGATGAAGGGTTGGAGCGTTCGATGCAGGATTTTTCCATATGAATGATGTTCAGCGCCGAATAACCGTGTCACACTTCATCGTGCCGTTCCTCTCGAGAGCAGGTACTGATCAGATGCTCCTCTGTGTGTCGTTCATCTGTCTGGGTCAGATCAGCTCATCATTAACACTGTACTGCTGTGATGTTGTGTGTGTGTGTGTGTGTGTGTTCAGGTGCGGCGTGTGTGTCCGACGACAGCTCTCAGTGGCTCATCAGTAACTTCGGCCAGTTCTCTGCTCTCCTTCCTCTGAATCAGCTGATCTCGCTCAACCCACAGTTCAACCCGGTACAGTCACTAAAACACGTTTACACCGCAAACAGTCACTGCACTCATCAGGATTTACTCTAAAACATGGTAGTGTTACCTGAGAAGCAAACCTGAGAAAGATATTAAGGCGTTTTTCTCTTTTTGCGTCCGAAAGCTCTAAAATGCTGGCTTCGGAGGCAGGAAGGCATCAAGGCACGTCCGAATTCTGCTTCACTTCCTGTCTCCGGAGGTTCCTTCTTCTGAAAGTTGCGTTTGGTGGTCAGTTTGTGTTTAAATGTATGTTTCTGACTAACTTTTTGCACTTTTGATGTTATTTCTAGTGAGAAATCAGTATAATAATACTTAAATATTCATTTAGTTATCATCAAAACTCATTCTATTTTGTTGTAGATCATTAAACCGCTACGCTGCCTCAGAAGCCTGTCCGAAATCAGTTTCATGAGGTGCCAAAAACGCTGCCTGCAAAGTCATTGCCTCATACTGCAGCGAGGCAGCTGCCTAGGCTTTCAGACGCAGCCAGTGTGTCAGTTGCTGATTGTATGTTTAGATGTGGGCGTGGCTCTTCAAAATGGAGGCGGATCTGAATGCAATCTTGCAGTAGATCATAAAAAAGGGGCGGAGTTTTAGTGGATTAAATCCAGTTTCACTGGAAGATCCAGTTATGACATTCTGATTAAACTATACTGTGTTATTAATAAGTGAAATGTATGTACAGATGAATTGCGCACAATAAGGTCTATTACTTGCATTTAGAAAATGAGGTGAATTTTCCTTGCGTGCTGACTTTAGCACAAGAAGAAAGACATTTAGTTCAAGATTCTCTTAGAACAGGATACAGTATCTTCCACAGTTTTGCTTCTCAAGGTATTTTACTGGAAAACAAGCTTCCTCTTGTTCTTGAAGTGTGGAAGAGTTTTAACTGGGTCTTTGCTTGCGTTCTTCTCTGTTTCCAGATGAGCGGCCTGCTCTATCTCTCTCCAGAGCAGCTGGTCGGGCTGATGTTTGATGATGTTCCTGGGCTTCCAGAGAAAAGTGTGGTCATCAATGCCGTGTTCGATCACCTGACTGCGTCTCCACAGAAAGAGAGGATCCTCTCCACGCTTCCCATCATGGTGGAGTCATCAAAGAGGGTAAAATAGTTTTTCAGTGCACTTTTGCATCTGTTTCTCATTGTTGTCCCACCATTGACACCCAGACGTGTTTCTTTCTGACAGAGGAACGTCTCCTGCGCGTCATATCAGATCATGTGAGTGTCGTCATGTGTTTGGTGTGCTGAATCTCACGGTCTCGTGCTCACGCGTCTGTCTGTCCGTCTGTTTGCTAGCTTCCACCGTCTGGATCATCTGATGGTCAGCGTGCCAGTGGATCTGGAGCCAGTGATTCTGAGGAGTAAATCAGCTCTTCTTCAGAACGTCCCGCAGGGTGAGACCTGAGCACTTTCGCTATCATGAGACATATTCACCTGAATTATATCAAACGTTACAGGAATGTGCTTCACTCACTCACTCAGTCACTCACTCACACACACTCACACACACTTACTCACTCACTCACACACTCACACACACACACACACACACTCACTCACTCACACACACACACACACACACACACACACACCCACTCACACACACACACTCACTCACACACACATTCACTCACTCACTCACTCACAGACTCACACACACTCACTCACTCACACACACACTCACACTTACTCACTCACTCACTCACAGACTCACACACACACACACACACACTCACTCACTCACTCACACACACACACACACACTCACTCACTCACTCACTCACTCTCTCACACACACACACACACTCACTCACTCACTCACTCACTCTCTCACACACACACACACACTCACTCACTCACTCACTCACTCTCTCACACACACACACACACTCACTCACTCACTCACTCACTCTCTCACACACACACACACACTCACTCACTCACTCACTCACTCTCTCACACACACACACACACTCACTCACTCACTCACTCACTCTCTCACACACACACACACACTCACTCACTCACTCACTCACTCTCTCACACACACACACACACTCACTCACTCACTCACTCACTCTCTCACACACACACACACACTCACTCACTCACTCACTCACTCTCTCACACACACACACACACTCACTCACTCACTCACTCACTCTCTCACACACACACACACACTCACTCACTCACTCACTCACTCTCTCACACACACACACACACTCACTCACTCACTCACTCACTCTCTCACACACACACACACACTCACTCACTCACTCACTCACTCTCTCACACACACACACACACTCACTCACTCACTCACTCACTCTCTCACACACACACACACACTCACTCACTCACTCACTCACTCTCTCACACACACACACACACTCACTCACTCACTCACTCACTCTCTCACACACACACACACACTCACTCACTCACTCACTCACTCTCTCACACACACACACACACTCACTCACTCACTCACTCACTCTCTCACACACACACACACACTCACTCACTCACTCACTCACTCTCTCACACACACACACACACTCACTCACTCACTCACTCACTCTCTCACACACACACACACACTCACTCACTCACTCACTCACTCTCTCACACACACACACACACTCACTCACTCACTCACTCACTCTCTCACACACACACACACACTCACTCACTCACTCACTCACTCTCTCACACACACACACACACTCACTCACTCACTCACTCACTCTCTCACACACACACACACACTCACTCACTCACTCACTCTCTCTCTCTCTCTCTCTCTCACACACACACACACACACACACACACACAGGTTTGTTTTTGTGAAAAGGGGGGACTCTCCATAGGCGTAATGGTTTTTATACTGTACAGACCGTATATTCTATTGCCCTACACCAACCCTACCCCTAAACCTACCCCTCACAGGAGACTTTCTGCTATTTCAGATTTTCAATACACTCCATTCTGTGTGATTTATAAGTGTTTTGAAAAGTGGGGACATGGGGGAATGTCCTGAAAAGTCACCTTCTCCTTGTAATACCTGTCATACCTTTGTCATTATACACATTTATGTCCTCATTTGTCACAAAAACGCGTACACACAAACACACACTCACTCACTCACTCGCACGCACAGACACACACACACACACTCATGAGACTCTCTCTCTCTCTCTCTCTCTCTCTCTCTCTCTCTCTCTCTCTCTCTGTCTCTCTTGGTGTGTGCGCCGGAGG